AAAACAGTGGGGCATCACTCAAAGACGTGCTGCCTGCATCCTCCCTGGGGGATTGCTGTCAACAGACTTGGGGGTGTGAAAACAAGGAAACCAGCAGACTTTGAAACAAAAGCAACATCCAGAGAGGAAAATAAACATCCCACAAGGCTGCTTAAAAACACTGATGCCAAAGAAAAGGGTGAGTCAATGGACAGCACAGTGGGCAAGCCTTGGGCCAGCTGCTGGCTTTCCCAGGGATGGATCAGGACCACCTCCTCCTCCATCACAGCACTGCAGTTTGTAAAAGGCAATACTTTTGGTGCAAAGGCATCAGTTTTTGTGGATGAAACAGGCTGTGCAAGATTCCAAGGTTATGACTCAATCCCATACTATCAGGGCAATAGTGTCAGGCCTCAGTTCCCTATTTACAGCTTTCATAGGGGGAAGAAAAAAAAAAAAAAAGGTGAGACCAAGAAACCAGATAGCAGTTCTCCAGAGTGAATCAAATCCTCCTGATAACTAATCTTATCTTCTTGGTCTGTTGTTGTCTCATCAAAGTCTCTCCAGGAAGGAGACAGACAGATGCAACCTTTGTTTCTGCTTATCAACCAGCACTCAGAGAAGCAATTCAGAGCAGCTGAATCGTGCCGGGTGCTGAGAGGCAGCCCCAATAAGGATTTCAGGGTATGGTCTCAGGACACTCACTGGACTAATGGCTTGCCTTGCTCTGCCTGATTCAAATATCCAAAAGGGAAGATTCCCTTTAACTAAGGACAAAACAACTGAGCTAAAACCTTGGGGGTAGGGGAGAAACAGTGAGTTGACCTACTGTGTGTGGTACCTGAGAAACTATCTTTTTCCTCCCTTTCTTTACAGATTTTTTTCCTGTAGAGGTTGTGTTTGCTTTAAAAGCAAGCTCTCATGTGCCTTCTTCAGTTGTAGCAAAAAGACTTGACATTCCTGATGTTTGAGTAGATGAATAAGAATTGTGTAATGATACACGCATCCCTGAGAGTTATGCCTCCAGCATTACCTGACTGACGCTCTGCATGTTCTGCTAAGCTAGATTTTCTACGGTGGGCTGGTTTACTCCCCAAGTTTGCTTCTCTCGTGACATACCCTGTCACAGAGCAGAAACAAAGGAAAAAGATAGAGATGGATAGGTCTGACAGAGAGCTGCTTTCACATGGCATCTGAGAAAGTTGGCTATCAGTTGCTGCAGGAGAGACAGAAAAGCCTACTAACAGGCGTGTAAACATTTCATCTCTCCTGGTCTCTGCTGGGTAGAGCTAGGACTTGCCCCCTTTGGTTCTTAACCTGCCCCAAAACCCTTTTATGAGTTAGAAGAGCTTCCTAGAGACTTTTTGCCTATTTCAGTGGTGTGTGTTGACCTATGAGATGCCCTTATGTAGGGTTTTTAATTTTTTTTTTTCATTAAATAAGGAAAAGTAAGAGAGTTCTGGATTTGGCCATTTTTTCTGCCTTTTGTTAGGTGATGATGCCATCTTGTGGAAGTTGTTAAGAGCAAGAGTTGGAAACCACACCTAGATCACATCTCAATTTGCAAGTCCTGTCACTCAGCAGGAGCAGATTTGTGGGGTGAAAGATCGTGGATGTTTCTGGTGGGGTTTGGTCCTGTGGCTGCCCTTACAACTCTCACGCATACCTGGAACCACCTTTCAGGAGCAACTATCTCCTATTTACACTTCGACTGAAAGGAATTCAGCTCAAGTGCTCCACAATCACCCACAGTGAAGTAGCTAGGGGCAATAACTTTAAAAGCATCTCAATTCCTCTCCTCATCTTCATTTACTCCTCACCTGAATTCACATGACAATGTAGACACACCCTTACAGCCTTGATAACAAGGTGAGATGGTAAGCCAGTGGGACCACATGCAGGCCCTGAAAAGCATGCTCTTCTTTTTCCTTGTGTAGAGGGTTTGCTACCCTCTTGCTCTGACTGGGAAGGTGCTCCTGGAAGCAGGAAAAGGAAGCCATACTAAAGCTCTTCTCTAGCTCTCGTTGTACTGGAGAAGTAGAACATTGCCTAGTTTTCTGGACTGATACCAAGGCACCCTCCAAGAACTCGCGCACAGAAAAACACGTGTCTGCTCCTGAGAGTTAAAGCTTTGCTGGTAAAGCTGGGGAACCATCAATGCTTTGGGGATCACAAAGCAGAGGAGGAGGAGGAGGATGGTGCTGGAGCAAGATACGAGAAATTGGTGAGAACTGACTATGTGATTCAGTTATTCTAATGTCGTTAAGTTTGAATCTGCCTTGTTTTGACTTGGATCACAGACTTGGTTAATAGTTTCTGTCTTCACCAAATACTTATTGTTTTCCTAAAGCTGACTGAGCTGGTACAGTTGCTTTCAAATCCCCTCTGCTCATTGAAAGAAAGCTTCTCCAAACAAAAAGGCTTTAGCAGAGCAGTAGAGCCATAAACTGACTCCATTACATGTTGTGATGCACTGAATCTATTTATTGCTCTGAGACTCAGCAAGCCAAAGCCCTGTGATTTCCTAGCAAATACTTTGCTACTCCTCCAGTAATATATATTTGTAGCAGGCTGACATAATGTCTGATTTTGTTGAACTATCTGTGTGTGTTAGTGGGAACGTGAATCTTAAAGCAGGTGTTACTTTATTGAATTGCACATGACCTATTTGTTTGCTTGTCTAAGCACAGATCCTTGAAAGTATTTTAGTTTCTCATCAAGTTTTCAGCACTTTCAGTACCTAGGTAGTAACATTCTTTGTGTGCTTTTCTATAGTACATTTCATTTCTGGGCTGTCACTTGATAAGTAAATGTTCACGGGTGTTTGCTTCTTGCTACTGATATTTTTAGGTAATCAAAAAAACCTGAGCTTTTTTTTCTGCACGTGGTGTACCATCTGATGTATTGATTTGCCAGCATAGCAGACTTTCCATGTTTTTAACCCTAAATAACCTGGTAATGCCAGAGACAATTTCTAACAAGCAACAAAACACTATGGGGTGAAAATTTCTTTACAATTTGATGCCCCCTGAACCAAGAAAAAAACCAGCTAAATAAACCCCTTCACCAGCCTGCTTGCATTCTAAAGCTCTTGCTGTTAATTCTGATGCCTATTTTGCATGGTGTATGGAGTCACTAGGGTTAAAAACTTGCCCACGTTTACTTTGCTCTGTGGAGTTTCTTGTGACTGTTTGCAAAGGGTGTTGTGGCATGTGATGAGTTAGCATAAGCTTTGCTCCTTGAGCGCAGGCAAGTTGTAGAAGTTGTTATCCCCCAGACTTTGGGTGTAGGGTGTGGTGTTTGCCCAGAAAGGGCAATGAGGGGAAAAGAAAACAGAGGAAAATGCTTGTACTTGCGTTGAAAATGTGAATGTCTTGTTTAAAGGGCATGGGATCGTAACAGGAAGGCTATCAGGGGAAAGGACTGATATAGGCTACCCACAGCAGCCAAAGAGGAGTCTGTGGAGAGAATGAGTGACTTGATTCCCCCAATATCAGCAACACACAGACTGCTGTGCCCTTTGACTAGATTAAGGCTACGTCTAGATGGGGTTTTAGCAGCAAATTAAAAAGTAACAAGGAACACTAAAAATCAGTTGCATGCAATACTGTGTTTTTAGACCTGGCCCAGAAAACCCGTGTTCTAAACAAGGGATGCTTGTAGGTCAGGGTTGGCATCACCTGTGGCTGTTCCTTGCCAGGAGCTTGCATATGGCTGCCCTGTTTTGGAGAGGGCTCGTCACTGATGAGGAATGAGAGCAGAAGTGACGCAGAAAGCTAAGGCACTCAAGACCGTCCTTCAGTTGCTTTAAAATGCTTCATTGCTCCACTTACGAAATTAATTTAAACAAGCAATTAGGGCCATCACCCAGAATGAGAAGAGAATGATTTAAAAATTCCTAGAAGATTTAGATATATCTATATAGCTGGATGATGTCCTTCCTGGACTGGGTAAGGATTTGAGGTGATCTCTGAGTTCATGAGATTTACCTTCAGGGACTGGGGACAGGCTCTGTCCCTCTGCTTGGCTGTCCCTAACCTGAAAAAGAGGAGGTTCAAGAGAATCGTAGATGAGTCAGTGCAACTTCATTTGTTAGAAGAAAAAAACAATATGATTGGAAAGAAATGGATTTATCATGTTTGACTCAGACTGATCTATTTTTTTTGTATGAAGTTATAGCTGGCTCAAGGAGAGAGCAGAAGATCCTTCCTTTGAATGTTGGTGGGGTTATGATAGTGTTAAGTGATATTCTTGTAAGGAAGCTCACAACAGTTGTTGGCAATGCAGAGTGCCACTGACTTAGGCTCTTCCCAGAGAGCGAGCTGCAAGGGTATGAAGCTGGATGAAAACACCCAGGTGGAGAATTGGCCATACCCAGATAGACCCTCAAAGTGCACTGGGACAGTGGCTGATCCCATCCCACTGCAGTTATCAAGTCTGAGCCAGTGGCTTCCTAGTGGCTGGGTCCAAAAAAAGGAGGATTTTAAGTCCTGAAAGCCTTGGTAAAATCAAGTTGAAAGCATTGGCATCTGGAATAGGAGTTAGGGACCTTAATGCCAGATCTGGCTGTGACTGTAGACCTCTTGAAGCTTCTTATCACAGCATGTGGGACAGCACCACAGGAGGTCACATATAGTTTGTATGGTTGTGCAACAGGGCAGGACCGTGGCTGTAACATGCATTTGGCCTGAATGTGGTACTGTAGCTGAACACAGTCCCAGCTGTGGCACAGCCCTATAGCATCTCTTTTTCTCTGGGATGCCACCAGCTAGGACCTGTTGATCAGTACATTGCAAGATGAAGCTATGGTGGCCCATCAAAGTGGCTCCTTCAAAGACCCCACCTGCCTCTCCCTGTTGCAAAAACCCCTCAGTGTGTACCCCTGTGATGCCGGAGACCAAAAAGCCTCAGCCTGTGACCTCCACGGCCATTTGGTCTGTAGTCCTCCAGGAACAGGTCCTGCTTGGGGTGGTGCTGTGGTTGGTGCTGTGGTTGGTGCAAGGCAGAGAATTACAACTTACTGACTGCCAGGACAAAGATGGCAAAGATACCAATCACCTGCCAGAGGCGTAGCCCCCAAATCACCACCGTCTCTGAAGTTACAGGGTCCGGTTTCTTTTTCGGGGGTTCTGTGGTGGCCTGGGAAAAAGGGAGGGGGGGGGAGGGAAAAAGAGAAATGTGGTTTAAGATTTGCAAGGGTCCCTAAAACAGTCAGAAAGATGTCAATAGCACAGGAGATGGTGGACCCTAGTTTACTTGCCCCCAACAATTTGGAAATCTTTGAGGAATAGAGACTTAACTAAAAAGCTTGTGTCTAAAGCTTTTTCCATTTTGAAATTGATCTGAAGTATTGCAAATTTTCATGACCACAAAACAAATCTTCTTCCTGGCTTTTTCTAAAGAATCCATCTCCTGGGGTCAGGAGGAAATTTCTTATGTTTTGCATTCCTATCTTTAAAAAATATGTTTTAGACTCAACTGCAAAGTACAACATGGCTTCTTTTCTTTTTTTTGAAAAGACTTCTTCACAGGTTGCATTGCAGTGGTATCTGCTCTGCTAGGGCTAGATAAGAAGGGAAGAAGGATAAGAGATAAACATCAGGGTGCAATGAGAGCCAGCTGCTCTGTAAAGATGGGGAGCTGAGGGGACCACACAAAAAACAGGGCAGGGATCCCACCAGCAAGACTCCATCCCACCATGCACAAACAAGAGGAGCAGGGCAAGCCCAGGGTGGTAGCCAGGATGAGCAGAGAGTACCCAGGTCACCAGACATGTCCATAGTGATGGGGCAGGCTCAAGGGTCAGCGGAGCCCATGGCCAGGCACGGGCAAGGCTGTAGTTCAGGCAGGGGGCAAACGCTACAGCCTTGGCTTAAAGCAGCTGCCATGGGATGGGGTCAGCCCTTGTTGCGCTATCTCACAGTTGGCCGCAGAAGCTCAGCCTCCAGGAGGAGGATGCTCTGGGTGCCTGGAGAGTAATTTCTGCCTTTCTCCTGAATCCTGGAGAAACACTGCAGAGGAACTGCCAGATCAAATAGGACAGAATGTATTGTGTGCGAGATAGCAGTTGATGCTGACCTTTGAATTTGGTTGTTTCTTTCTATTTTTCTCTTTACACTATGCTGTAAGACCTGCCACAAAAATGATGCAGCTGCTTCCCTGGCTCAGGCTAGGGTTTTGGTGCTGAAAGCTGTTGCGTCCGTTCCCCTTCTTGGTGTACGTTCCCCTCCTGACCCCACATGTGTCTTTCTCTCTCTGCTCAGACCTTGTAGGGCCTAAGAGGAGAGCTTGGGGCATGGTGTATGCTTGGTTTCCAACTTTACCTGCATGTTAACTGCCACAGCCTACAGCTACCCCGCTGCCTGAAGGAGCAGTGCAGGAACAGACCAGGTAACTTGTCTGCTCTGCATCAGCCCCGCTATAGCTGCTCTGAACATCGGCCCTCTGATGTTGCTTTAAGCCCCCTTTCTAAACAGGGAATGCTCCTCTGGGGGGGAGGAGGACTTGGAAGCTTGAGTAATCTGCAGTTCTGTGGTGGTGTTTCATAGCTCCTTGGCTTTAAAGACGTGAATGTGGGTAGTATTCAACCTCTTAAATAGAGGCACCTAGTCCTGTCTGAGGTGGTGCGGAGTATCCTCCGTCTGCCCAGCCAGCAAGGCACGGGTCTTGCACTGTGTCATATGTGCCAGCTCCTGTACTCATGTCAGATACTGTAGGACATCTCAAATGGCACTAGACTTCATAGCAATTTCACAGCAGTGACTTCATCATCCATAGGCATGAAACAAAATCAGGAAATCTCATATTTATATCTTGCACTGTCTGCCTCATGTCGTATGAGCACCCAGTGCCTCAGTTTCCCCACTCGAAGCAGAGGAACATTGCTGCTTCCCTACTTTTGCTTTGAGCTAATCTGAAGGGAAATGCCATGTGGATTTGATACAGGGACAGATACTGGAACTCATCTACAAGTTGAGAAAGAACATTTGATTTAAATCCCATTATCACTGGGGAATGGGGAGTTGATGAACCCTCGAAGGGTAATACAATGTGCAGAAAGTAATTCCCTCACAACGTGTTCTCTAGTCAAAACAGCAAAGATGGATTTGGGATGGCTAATCAAGTTGCATCTAAGTTCTGGGCATTCAATCACATTGCTTTAACACCATAAAGCCAATGCCAGAGAGCACAGATGTCAGATTTCATGAAACACAGGGAAAAATGGTTTAAAATGGGTCATTCTGGGCTAGAGGCTCCAGGTCTGTAACCAGAGCTCTGATTCTCACAGCTCCAGCAGTGTGATAGATTCATAGAAAAAAGGAGAATATACTGTAGGGAGATCTAACAACACGGACAGCATCAAGGAATCGAGATTAAAGCTTAGACCAGGGATCCTATTTCTGTTTTATATATATAACTAACAGTAATGAACAAACAGCTGTTTGCAATAAAGAATTTAGGTAACCTGTATTTGCTGAGAGCCCTTGCTATTACTTGAGAACATGTTAAATGTGTAGAGACAACCCAATCATGTTATGAGTCCAGGAGGAAGGTCCTGGCTTCTCTCATTTTTGCCTTCACATGAATAAACCACGAGACTGCCTGCTGGCAAGGTGGTGCTGTTTCATTTCTTTTTACGCTGTAGCTTGCAGGCTCCTTTTGAACTTTCATGCATATATACATATGTATATATATTGTGATCTGGAAAATAATTTAAGTAGGAGGCATGATACCAAACACCTCCATTCCTTGAAAATATCTTTATTTTTACAATTAAGTGGACTTTTCCTAGCTGTAAGTGTACTTTTTCTTTCAATTTGTATTTTTTTAAGGGAAGTAAATTTTTTTTAGTGGTGTTCTCCATTAAACAAAAGTCTTGAAATGGTAATGAATTTAAATGAAATGTAAAAAAAAAAAAGAACTGAGAAAGTTCTGGTGTTTTTCTTCATTCATAAATAGTACCTTTTCTAAGCAGTATTGCTTCCATATTTTGCATCACTAATGACAAGTTTGACTAAAGAAACCTGCTCTTAAATTGTCTTGTAGATGTTGCGTTAAGCCTAGTTGTCATTCAGGAAAGCACATCTTAAGTTATTCAGGCTAACAAGGAGGTCTTATAACTAAATTCTGTGGCTTGCGCTGTATCAAAGGTTAGAAAAGATGTGATAATATCCTGTTTAGGGCATGTCCATAAAATGAGAAGGGGCTTGGGTAAAGAGGAGAGTGTGTCCAAAGCAACATGAACAGCACTCTAATTTCCAGCTCCTGAAAAGGCTCTAGAAGTGAAGTAGAATGAGAAGACAGATGAAAAAAATGGAATAGTAGTCATGAGAGCCTTAGCTTGTGAAGGTGGTGATATGAGCTTTCCTTATGCTGTTTAGCGGTGATTTGGTTAGTACTTCAGATGAGGTGAATTGCAACCTCAGCTCCACTATCAACTAGATCTTCAACATCTATGGGAGTTTCTGGGGCAAACAGCCCTACAGATACCTGCCTTTGGCAGAAGAAACTTCTCTGGAGTGACCATTTAGATGGAAATGGGACAGGGACCTGATGGACTCCATAGCAGCTAAATGTTGGACAAATGAGGAACCTAAATCTCATTGCAGAGTCAGTCCTTAGTTCTTGAGTGTTTCAGTTCCTTGTCTCTGAGATGGGGTTGAACGTGTTTTTCAGAGGTGTGTTAAGAGGACAAATGTTACCAGTGAGACAGGCTGTCTAGACCGACCCCTGTGGTCCCAGTGCAGTGATGATATGGTAGGGTCATACATACCAACAAGCAGCACTTATTCTCTTGGTTTATGGCTTGGAAAATCAGAGATTAACAACTCCTCACTTCTAATGAACTTCACATTATGAAGTGTTGTGGTGCAGCAAATCTTAGGGTTACAACCTAGTGATATTTCAGAAGGGTTGTTAGCAAAACACCTTTATTGCCTTATATCTGAATGTAGGATCTGATCTGAATTGGCAGTAGCCCTTCCATAGAAGCTGAAAAAACTTTGTTTCTAAATGAATAATAATAAAAAAATCTCCTAAACAGGCACATCTGATTCCTTGCAGTGCCCTTCCCTTCTCAGTCCATGAAAGTCCTGTTAAAACACAGCTGTAATGGATACCACAGGGTGAACTGGAGCTGGAGCTGCTCTCCAATTACTTGCCTATTTGTGCAATACAAACCATAATTTAGTCTTTTCCTAATGAAGGATGCTTCCTGCCATGTCTGGAGTGCTTTGTCTCCCAGGGGCATCCTATTCAGAATCCATCTGCGGTGAATAGGGTTGTTGTCTCTTCCAAGCTGTCTTGGCTACTCAGCACCACCCGGTCACACCTCTGTGACAGCCGTCCTTCTCCCATAGCACAGGGCCGGACTGGCCATGGGGCATCTGGTGCTTAAGATCCAGAATTACTCCAAGTGAACTAAGGGAGACAGAAAGTCCAACCAGAGTGGTGTGGTCTTGTAGAGGCATCTGGGACAATCAAGGAGGTAGGAATCTGAGATACTTGATACTGAAAGATCTCCCTTTTCAACTGTAGGGTTCCTTATGGAGCATCCAGCAATAAATAAAAGAAATTGAAGAAGCTGTGACAGGCAGCAGCCCTGGGGAGTGATTAGGCACTGATCTGAACCTGTTCTGGGTTCAGAAAATTTTGTCTAATTAGAAGTGCTGACCCCAGAGATTTAACTTTACTTTCTGCCTTGGATTCAGCTTTCCTTACTACTGATCCTGGAGTTAACCTCTAGGGTAGCCTCAATCTGATTCATAGGACATGCTTCATTTGCAGTAGTTGGCATGATTTTGCCATTTTGTGAAGCTCAGCTCTCCAAAGGATGGGTCTTTTCTTCCAGACTTGTCTCTGAGGGGCAACTGGGAAAGGGAGTCAGATAGAGGAAAACTGGTGAGAAAAGGAAAATGTGGGGCTTCTGCTAGAACTCTGCATGTCTGGGTAAGTCTTAAGTGTGCATCAAGAAGGGAAAAAGAGACAAACAGGGACATGGTTGGTGTTAGTTCTGCCAAGGTTATACCAGATGGGAGCAGAGGTGAAGGGTTAGCTCTGTAGATGGCTGGAGGTTTAAGGCTGACTGTAGCTATTGCTTGAGACTATCTCAGGAGCAAGTCCCCAAAGGACCTAATAATAGTGCAGGGAGGGAGCTGCAGCTCTGGAGGTACTGCCTTGTACCGAGCCTTGCACATTGCCAATGGTCCTTCCTTCCATCTGCCTCACTGTGGCACTTCCAGGCCAGTGTTGCACACAGCAAGACAACGCTCCATGCTTTCTTGACTATAGTGGAACACTCAGCATGGCTGGTCCCAAAGAGTCCCAAGACAAGACAGAGGCTGTAGCGTTACTCTACATTCAAGAAGTGTGTTTTCTCATGAGGGTCTGATCTGAAGAGATGCATGGTTCTGGGTATGTTCCCCATCTACAGCTGCAGAGAGCAACCCCTTGTGAACTGTGTAACCTGTTTTCCTGTCTCATGATCAGCCACGGTGTATCTCATGCACCAGACCTGGTGACCTTCAGCAGGTTGTATTAGCAATAATCATAAATATCATGTCCTCAAAGAATCCAGAATAAAACAAAGTTTAAAAAAAAAAAAAAAAGGCTAATTGCAGAGCTGAAGGTGAGGGAAGAACCACCCACCTTCAGCTCCATGGCTTGGAAGTGATGGTGCTGGTTTTCTACAGCACACACAGAGCTGTGGGACCAGCTGCTTTTGCCTGCTGAACCTTTACTCTCTTTTCTCCGGGAATCTCAAAGCCCTTGATGCGTCATCCTTGTTCAACAGAAGTAATATTCCCAGTACAGAGTAGAGTAGCTGAGCAATTAAAAAATATTCTCATGATCACAGCATGGATCAATAGGTCATGGATTGTGGTATCCTCCTCTAACTGCTGCCACAGAAAGCTTCACAGAGATGGCACATGTAGTAGGCATTATTTTGATGTTTAAATATTCTCCAGTCTAAGTCATGAAGGAATGATGAACAGACTCTTGGACTAGTAAAAAGGTGGGGAAGATGTAAATAGACAGAAAGGTAAGGGATGTGCTGACATATCAGGTACTACAGCAATTGTGTGCCTCAATAGGACAGCCTGAAACTCTGGATTACTGTAGAAGCATCTGCTTACCATCAGTAGCAGGAAGGCCAGTGATTAGAGCACTGTTATCAGTTTATGGACAGTTCTGGACAAAGCTGTGGATGAGGAACAGCGTAACCTTAAACAGAGCTGAACTCGCACTGGAAGGAAGAAACAACAAGGTCAAAGATCTCCACCACTTGGTTTCACAAAAGCTCTTGATGTGAACCAGTACATAAAGTAGC